TGTGTCACTCTAACTCTACCCTCTCCCCAGTTTTTGGACAGTTCCCTTTTTTATTTTACATGTATTATTCACACTGAGAAGCCATCACTAAATCTGTGGCTGAAACCAAATTTCAAATGTGATGGATAAAATCAATTAAGTATTCTCGCCGGAGATAATAGATTCCAAGGTCTCTGGCTGCCTCAAGGCTGCAACCTCTGCTGAAAATAGAATGCAATGAGAGATTGAAAGCAGCCTAGGGTTTACCTTTAAGGCACTCTGCAAATTTGCAAAGCGAAAAATAAAATAGAAAAGCCTGCTATTCTAGCACATAGGTTAACGACTGTAATATATGCATATGGCTTTTGAAAGGGAAGGTTAAAAGAGCAGAAAGTGTGTGGACCAAGTCTGAGTGATATCACAGTTTGACGTATAATCCCATGCCTTCTGGGAAGAGAAGCTGTGCCCCTCCCCGGTTATATTCCTTGTCCAACATAATGGTTGCTGTTTGTAGCTTGACGGCAAGAACAAATACATTGCATTCAAAAAGTCCCAGGTTCAATCACTGACAACTTCAGCCCACGCTAAAGTTTTCTCCCATAAGGAGATTATAGGGGAAGAGATTCCAAAAGAGATGGGCAAGTTGTTCATGTATTCTACTATCACAGCCAGAATCCTATATGTGCAGAAGTAGAAGGGAAAAGAACTCACAACGAAAGAAGAATGGCTTTTAAAGACTATGCAGAGACGGCGAAGTTTACATCAAAACTTAGAGATTAAAAAAATAAGAGAACTTTGTCGAAGAGTGGAGGTTCTTTTCGGACTGTTAGAGAAGAAGCTATAGCCAAGGGAAATCGCGAGCAGAATCTGAATAATAGGCAAGGGAAGGAGAATAAATAAATGACTGCAATTATAAGTTATAATACAATAGAAAATAAATGGTAGCTATGGCAGCAGATAAAGAAACACAACAAGAACATCATGGCTGTAAGGAAGTCAAAATATAAGAAACTATTATACAGAAAGTGAATTGAATAATGGCAAACTTTGTGTAAAACACCTAATAAAAATATTATTGTTGTTGTTTTTTAAAAAGGAATTATCACCCCCAAGAGGCAAATTTGTGGAGGGCAAGTCTATCAATGACTATGAACCCTATGAATCTCCACTGCTGGAGACTACAGTATATCTGGATGCCAGTTGTTGGGAGTATTATTGCACTGCTTAAGGGTTTCCTATGGGCATCTTGTTGGCCAATGTGAGAACGGAATCCTGGATCAAATAAAAAAAAAATCAAATATCTTTAATACGGTCAATGACCAGGAAGCAATTTATAAAATATGACATTAAGAGTAGTATTGTGCTACAAGTAACAGTAAAAAGTATGGCCAATTCACAGAATTGGTGCTTATATTTATGACCAGGTTTCGAGTTTTAAGTTTTTAAAATTCGATTCAGGAGTCGCTACTGTTTATTATCGTTCCTTCGATGTTTACAGTTTGAACTCCTTTGTAGACATCATTGCTCGTCTTATTCTTGTTGCAATGTAACAGTACTTTGCCACGGACCTGTTAATTTCGGGCTCTTTGTCAGCTAGGAGGTGTCTGATATAGGTGTCGTCTGTACTACGAGGTATTTTCCTCAGAATCGGTTCGATCAGCTCTTTTCTTGAGTCTCGATATAATGGGCAGTATAAGATGACATGCCCAATGGTTTCGATTTCATTGCTGTTACAGGGGCATAATCTTTGTTCAATCGGTATTTTATTGTATCTTCCCTCTAGAAGAGCTGAAGGGAGAGCGTTAAAGCGGGCCCTGGAAAATGCCCATCGGTGTTTAGCGTTGTCTAGAACTTTGAGATAGTTTGCTAGAATGGGGCCTTTGGGAATTGTATAGAAGTTTATAGGTTATCGGAAGTTGGTTAAAGTCATTTTGGGTTTCAATGTCCCTGAGTCTTTCTTTGATTATGTTCTTGGCCCTTCCCCTTTCTAAACTTAATAAATACTCTGGGGAGAGACCATATGTGGCCAGTTTTCTGAGAATGCCCTTCAACCAGCTAGATTGGAATTTGTCAAGAAGCATCAGGGAAAGTAGTCCAACCGGCGAGTTGTTAAGTCTTAGCCAAGTGCATAAAGTTCTTATCCATACTTTGGCTTTAATGCTGTATAAGCCCGTTTCCAGTCGTAAGGCGGCGTTTGGGACGCATTTAGGTGTTTGCAGGAGTGATCTCAGGAAACCTGATTGTATCTTCTCATATGGGTCTAGATTAGAGAGGGAGACGAGTGGTGCGCCGTATAGGATTTGTGCTGTTGGTTTTGCAACGAATAGTTTAATTGTAGCAGGAATGAAATTTCCTCCCGTTGTACGATGGAATCTTAGGATTGCTGTTGTACTTTTTTGTGCTGTAAAGGAGCTGTAGTTTATGTGGGCAGTCTTCTTCCTTGATGCTTGGAATATCACTCCTAGATATTTAAAGCATGTCACTTGTTCAATCTCCTGATTGTCTAAATTCCATCTGTATATTTTCCTTTTGTTAGAGAAAACCATGATTTTTGGTAGTTCACTGCTAGTTTCTCTTCTCTACAATATTGGGATAAGCTGTTAAGAGCTCTTTTGAGGCCCATCTGAGTCTGGGACAATATAACCGCGTCGTCTGCATAGAGTAGGATAGGCAGTTTTTTTGTCTGCTAATTTTGGGGCGTGTGTATCCGCTCCTTGTAGGTGGTCTATTAGGGAGTTTATATAGATGTTGAACAAAAAGGGGGGCCAAAATGCATCCTTGTTTAACTCCCTTTGTTGTTCTAATGAAATTAGAGAGTTGGCCTTCTTGGCTGCATCTTATGCGAAGTCGTGTGTTATTGTACAGTTTGTATATTAGTAGCAGCAGACGTCGGTCTATGGATGATTTGTTGAGTTTGTCCCAGAGTCGAGTTCTTGGTATGGAGTCAAAGGCTGCTTTAAAATCTACAAATGCTGCGAATAGGTGGTGATTGTGATGCGACGTGTATTTCTCAGCTAGGTGCTGTAAGATCAGGCAGTGATCCATTGTGGATCTCCCTTGTCTAAATCCTGCCTGTGCATCATCAAGAATCTTCGCTCTTTCTATCCATTCGCACAGTTTCTCGCTGAGATGTTTAGCGTATAATTTACTTATTATATTCAGGAGGCTTATAGGTCTATAGTTGGAGGGATCGTCCCTCGAGCCTTTTTTGTAAATGGGAATAATGATGGAAGTCCCCCAGTCGTATGGGATCTGTGCAGTTCTATCTATATATGTGAACAGAGAGGCTAGCAAGGGGGCCCACCAGTTCGCATTGGTTTTAAATAGTTCCGCTGGTATACAGTCAATTCCAGGGGCTTTCCCGTTCTTTAGTTGGTCAATCAGCAGATGGGTCTCTGTTAATGAGACTGCTGGCCATGGCTGTATCTGATCATCCGGTATGTCTAATGCATAGGACTCATCGCTAGATTCCTCGTAAAGATTATGGAAGTGCGTTTCCCAGGCTTTCATTGATATGCAGCAGGATAGTTGTGATAGGCCCCTATCCGGCTGTACAGCTACGATTCTCCAGAATAATGATGGGTTACTTGATTTGGAGGCCTCTATCAGTTGCTGCCATAATAACTTCATTGCGTATCTTTTCTTTTGTGTCAGAAGTTTTTTGTAACTTCTTTTGGCTTCAAGCATCTTTTGTCTGTTGTCCTCTGTTGGATTATCCTTATGGCAGATGAAGGAGTGGATCAATGATTTCTTGGAGGTTATACACTCATGATCGAACCACTCCCTGGAAGTTTTCCGACGGTGGGGAGGCTTGGAATTCGGTTTTACAACAAACTCTTGAATTTTTTGTATAAGCATTTCATATGTTGTCATCATGTTCGGGGCGCTCTCCTCTATTTCTAAGCACCCTTCCATAATTGCTTTGGAGAGACGGTAGCTCTCCTCAGTTTTATACCAGTTAGATATCCGCTCGCTCACTTGTCCATTCCATCTGATTTTCTTGAGGCCTGTTCCGGGTGTTAGATCTGATTGATATCTGTGTTGTGGTTTGAGCAGATCAAAGGGTAAATCACACACGAGGGATAAAGGTAGATGATCACTTTCAGCTCTTGCTGTAATGGTGAATTTTGATATCCTAGGGATCAGGTCCTGGGAAACAATGCAATAATCTATCGTTGACAGTTTGTGTCCTGACCAATATGTGTATTGACCAGGATAATCTCCTTGTATAGCCCCATTCAGTAAGTGTAGATTCTGTCTGTAGGCCATGTGTGCTAAATGTAGTCCTCCAATGTTGCATGTCTTATCGTAGGATGATCTTATCATTAGGGGTGGGATAGTTTCCATTTCTGGAGGCCATTGGTGAAAATGTGCATATAGGGCGTTGTCGTTAGGGCCCACTCTTGCGTTTAGGTCACCAGCTAGTAATATCATGGCTGACGGGTGTTGTCTCCTCCATTGCACCACGTGGGCTTCCACTTCTTTCCATAGTTGTTCTACTTGTGCCTGCCGACGACATGTAGGTAAGTATAAGTTTATGCATAGCAGTTTGCTTTGTCCGAAATCTAAAACTGCTGCTACAGACCATTCATCATTGGAGGGTAATTGGATAATATTAGCTTGTATCTGCGTTGAGAACAGTAAGGCTAAGCCTCCTTTGGGTCTGCCCCCTCTTTGGCTAGGTGTTGCTCTTTTAATACACGAGTGGTAATTATCCAGGTAGAGCTCGTCTATCGTCCAGGTTTCCTGGATGAACAGGATGTCAAATTTAGTGAGGAAGTCCATTAGATTGGGATCTTTGCTTTTGGCTCCCCACCCTGCGATGTTCCACGTACAGGTGGTCAGCTTGTGATTTTTGGTTGTCAGACATCTCAAGGGACAATCAAGCTTAGGTTTATAGCCAATTTGGGATTTATCATTCATTATGTCCGTTTTGGGGTGTGTAATGGGACATTTTGGCACGGTGTGAACTTGGACACATTTTAGTGTCCCGGAGGGGCGTTCTTTCCCGTGACCTTATTTCAGTCCGTGTGGATGGTGTCTAGGGCTCCTAGGTTGTCCACAAAGATTGAACCGTTCTTGCCTGGTGGTACCGCTATTTCAGCTTGATGTGTTATTGTTTTCTTTGTTATAGGTGGTTCCGTAGGTCCGAGTTCCTCTGGCGATAGGAATAGCCTTAGTATCCACTCACTGTTGGATAGAGGTTTTGTGGTATAGGTTGCATAGTTAAATTCCCTGGTGACGGGTGTGGCTAGGAGTGTAATAGTTTTCCTTATGGATGCTAATCTTTCAATTAGTGCGTCCTGAGCTTTATGTATTTGTTCAATAGTTGCTATGAAGCGGTTTTCCTTCTCTATGTTGGAGCTTTCATCTGGTACGTGATTTGGGGATAGGGTTTTTGGTCTTTTAGCCAGCTGGTTTGGGGCTTTGTCTGCCTCTAGTTGAAGCATCTTACAGTTCTCGTCCGTCATAGACATTGTCGGCTTTATTTTTATCTTATCAGTCTTGATTGTTTCGATGAGAGGAGTGGGAGTACCGGACACTTCGAATAGGCGAGTCACCTGCAATCCAACCCTTTGTAGCTTGTCCTTATTGTCTGAAACTAGTTTGGTTGTGTGCCAGTCTCTGAATGTTACCACAACTCTGTTTAGGTCCTTGTCTGATGGCAGAAATTTAACATTAATGATGTTTTCTGCTGGGACGAACCCTCTAACGGCTAATTCAGTTTTCTTGAGAATATAAATTCTCTGTTGTGCTGGAGAAAGGAGCTCTTTGTGCATGTATACAGGTAGGATGATGAGTTTTTGTTTGTTTAGAATTAGATTTCTGCAAGAGTAGGTTGTTTTAGGAGTAGTTTCTTGCTTGGGGGTCGGGTTTTCTCTTGATTTTCCCGCGGTTCCATTCGGGAGCGCTAGTTGCCCTGTTGAATTATGAAGCCTAGCCTTATGGAGTTCCTCTGTTGAATTGAAAAGCCCAGCCTTATGGAGGTTTTTATTTGGGCTTGGGCTTCGGCTTTTATCAAGGGGTGGCAGGACTAGGTTAGCTGGGTTCGTTGGGTTTGAATTTTCTAATAGCTTAAATAGTCTTGTGAGGTTCATTTTCTTTGTTCGAGATGGGAGCTTTGTCTTCCTTCCCATTTTTACGTTCTTGGGCTTCTTCTCTTTATTCCTGGGGCACTTCCCCTTTAAGAGGGGTTTCTTAGGGTCAATTAAGTTTCCCTTCTGGTTTGCTTTGATCCTAGATGTTTTCCTTTTTTCCACATTATGTCGGGTTTTATTTTCCTTACTGGTGTTATCGTTTGGTGTGCTAGAGAGAATTTTATATGAATGCAAGTTGTCTATTCTCCTAGTTATTTCAGTCAAAGTGGTAAGTAGGCCCAAGCATTCTGAGAGGAAGTCCTTGAATATGACCCAGATCTCTGCCTATCTGCGACTTCTGTTCATTTAACAGATCATTATATAGCCCTGTTAGTATGTAGGGGAGGCATTCCAAGTCCAGATATTGGGCTCTTGTGTCCTCCAGGTCCCCATTCGTCACAATGTGAAACCCCATCTTCTCCCCGGGCCCTGGTCCCTGGGAGGGCTCATCTGTCTTAATTACTGGGTTTTCCTCTTGTGACTCTTGTTCCTGCTCCAGCCCCGGTTGATTCACTGAGGTTTCATCTTCTATGGCAGCTTGTTTTAGTTCCATTGCCAGACTGACTCCCACCCCTTCTTCATCTGTTTCCATTAGCTCCCCGTACCTGGTACGGTCTATGGACCATTCGTGGGGGTGTCGTTTGTCAGCATTATTTATTTTGTCTGTTTTCGGTTTAAAATATTGTGAGATTTTCACCTGCCTTCCTCTTGTAGAGGGTTCAGCCGCTTTGATGAGGGGAATTCCCAGCTCTTTATAGCTCTGTCTTGTAAACACCATTCTCTAGGTTGAAAGCTTCCCTTATTGGGCACTTTATTGTAGAAATAAAGGTAGAGGTAAAGTTTGGAAAACCGGTGTCCAGGCTGTTGGATCAGGGAGCCTCCCTACCTTTCCCTCTTTAAGCCTTAACTTGGGGCGGGAGGGTATTCATGGGGGAGTTCTTGGACTTATCTTATCGAGGTGAGGCTCAATGGGGTTCAGCGGTTTCCTCTGCTTCTTTGATTATATTTCAAGCCAGTCCGTTGTCCGGGAGCTCCAAGGTTGTAAGTCAGTGTAGCAGTATCAGTAAACAGTGCGACGATAAAACAATAAAACAATAAAAGAATAAAAGACTAAACTAATTAAAACGAGGCGACAGGACAGACAGCCAACAGTCTTTAAGGTCCTTGAGGTGCAGTTTTGGGGTCTTGAAGAGGCTAAAACTAATAAAAACGCTTAGTTGAAATCGGAGACTCTAATTAGGCTGCTACCTCCGTCGCCATCTTGGCCCCTCTCCGGAATCCTGGATCAGTTGAGCTGCTAGCCCAGGGATCTCCAAACGAAGACCCACGGGCTGGATAAGGTCCGAGGGACCCGTTTATCTGGCCCGTGGTAACCCCGCTGCCCGCTCTTACTGGTGCTGCGCTGCGCGGCTGCCCACTTCCGGGTCGGAGGAGCACCAGAAATAGCTTGTGCACATGTACAAGCGTTATTTGCGCATGCACAAGCATTATTTCCATTGCACATTCAGGTCGGAGGAGGCCCGTGCACATGCGCACAAGCTATTTCTGGTGCTCCTCCGACCCGGAAGTGCGCCGGAAATAGCGTGTGTACATTCGTATGGGCACGCACTCCCCCACCCTCTGGCCCACCGTGCGATTGGCACTGGAGACACCGGCCCAAGGCACGGTAAGTTTGCTGACCCCTGTGCTAGCCTGAGGCAGCAACGAGCACTCACACTTTACATTGTGGGTGCCACAGTTCCCAGGAACTTAATGGCAAACAGGGACTGGCCTGCCTCTCAGTGTTATTATTGGAGGTTCACGCCCAGCCTAGTAGTCAAGTTTCATTGCTGGGAAGTGGGGCCAGCCCCATTTATATATAGGGGGTGGAACTGACAATAGCCAGGCAGTCGGCTCAGGAGAGTCACCCTCCCTATCCTCCCTTAGTTTAATCTTTTCTTTTTTCCTGGTTAACTTTTTCTTCCTGTTCAGTGGGCGCTGCTACGGTCTTTGACTGGTTGGTGTTGAAGGACCGGAAGAAATTTTCCTGCATTGGCAGGTTTTGTCTTCCCCGTAGCAATTCATCACAACTTTGGCGGATATGGCCTTGGGTGGAATCACTTAGTCTTTTCTTTCCTATAATTGGGGGGGGGGGAGAGTGAAGTGGTGACTCACCCCCCCACACACACACGGCGATTCCAGGGTCCCCTCTTAAAAGGAGTTATAGAATGGGTGTCACTGGCCATACACTGAAAGGTCATCAGTGAACTACCCTGACTGCGGCAATATGGGCTGGGCTGCCTGCTACACATACGTCTCGCAGAGCACCCCCATATCCCATTTACCCTGATGTGCCCCAGTTCCCCCGGCTGGGGGGCTGGGAGGGAAACATGCCCAAGGCCTAAGCCAAGGTCTTCCTACATTCGGAAGATAAATAAAGTTGTGGTCTAATTTTAATTCCACAACACATTGTCAGAGTCTTTATTCCTTTCTTATGAGCTCTGGGGGCTGGGGCTGCCGTGGCCTGGTCACGCAGTGCTTGTCTTATGTTCTTACCTCCAGGAACAGCTGAGAAAGACTTGTTTCTGAAAACATGATGAGCTGCTGGACAGGCAGAGTAGTCCTTATGAAATTAGCACTGCCACCCCTGTGCCCTTAATACTGTTGCACACCACCTCAATTCCCAGATGGTACAAGATCCCAGGGTACCAGGTGCTTAGCCATGGTTGGGTTTCCTCAGAATGAGGGACAGCAGACACTGTTTTGTCTTTGGGATATGTGGTTAATTTTGTGTGCGTACACATACACAACCTGAGCCCATGGCAGAGGGGAACATCATTAGCACACCAGGAAGGCCTTGTTTCTCTCACGGTCACAGCCTTGGATTCCAGCAGAAATAAGGCATGACTCTGTCTCTCAGCTGCCAGCTTCTGCTGCTGGCTGGCCTAATACTTTCTCAAGTCTATTTTGAAAATGAGTACAGCAAGTTTTTGTCTCGTTCTGTTTCCCAACATCCATTACAAAGCCAGAATTTTTGTTCTAACACCCAGGTGATGGGCAGCTCCCTTGTACTTTATTGAATGTTCTACAAACACCTGGAAAGTTCGAATATAACGAAGTGGACAGTCACAGATATGATCTTCCAAAGGTTAAGACTTATCTTTGGACTTGTTTGTCTTTCTTATGTAGAGAAAGGACACTAGCCCTTTTTGACATTTTCAGAAACCAAGCAACCACTCAGTGCATTGAATGAAGGGCAGAATTGCATCAACCTGAAACCTTCACACAATGGCTCAAAGAGCAGTACAAACTTTACATGTGTAAAGGTTTTGCACACAATCTCTAAATATGTGATAGGACATGCCTCTCCCCCCAAAAGATGTGTAAAACTTTTACACACATAGAGTTTGTTCTGATCTTTGGACCATTTTCATCAGGCATAGGCAAACTCGGCCATCCAAATGTTTTGGGACTACAACTCCCATCATTCCTAGCTAACAGGACCAGTGGTCAGGGGTGATGGGAATTGTAGTCTCCAAACATCTGGAGGGCCGAGTTTGCCGATGCCTGATTTACATTCCTGCAGGATTGTAATTTATATTGAGATAAATTGCTTTTTACACATACCAACTGTTAGTGCATGGTATCTGTCCCGAACTCTGGACCAATGTGTGAAAGTTGGGAGTGGCGACAGTGAATGAGAAACCTCTCTGATCCTTCCTTCCCCCTCCACAAGTTGGGGAAAAGAAACCCGGAACAATAGTGGGCCTGGGCTTCTTTGGAAGAAAAAAGGCAGGATAGAAATTTAATATATAATAACTACCAATCTAGTCAAATTCTGTATGTTGAGGGAGAGGCACCATTTATTTCTTCACCTCAAGCAGCAAAATATCTTGGGATATAAATGAAGGACTGACATCAGGAATGTGTATTGGGACTATATGGACTAATTAAAGAATGCAGTATAAATCGAGAGCCAGTGTGGTGTAGTGGTTAAGAGCGGTGGACTCGTAATCTGGGGAACCGGGTTCGATTCCCCGCTCCTCCACATGCAGCTGCTGGGTGACCTTGGGCCAGTCACACTTCTTTGAAGTCTCTCAGCCCCACTCACCTCACAGAGTGTTTGTTGTGGGGGAGGAAGGGAAAGGAGGATGTTAGCCGCTTTGAGACTCCTTAAAGGGAGTGAAAGGCGGGATATCAAATCCAAACTACCAAAACTACTACTAAATATTAGATCATCACTCCCCGAACTTCAGAGCATGGGAAGTCACCCAAAGATATATAATTTGGCATGATTATTCAGCTTTTTTGTGTATTATAATTTGGAATGTTCTAATGTGGTTTTTATTGGATTGTTAAAT